AGTAATATTTATATGCACATACGAAATTATTAAACGAAATTATAAACTACCTTGATTGGTTTAATAATTTCGTATATGCATATAAATATTACTGTATATTAGAGTAAAGCCTGATGAGGATCTAATCGAAAACAATATTGTTCGCTTATATATGTTGTTCCAAATGTGATTTGTTGCTTTTATGGTATGGTTAAAGTATCTCTACTAGCTAACTAGAACTGTTTTCAGTTTTTGAGTCATTGCACACCAAGACTAGAACACAGATAACCTAACTCCTCATTTATCGGTCAACTAATCTATTGAAGATGTTAACAAAATCCCTGATACACGCAATCGTGCACCATCAACTAATCCAACGCTTCTAACACCTTAAGTTAGATTCAGTTGGCTACTTCAATTTTCCCGGTGTAAAGCTAATCTAGTTACATTGCATTTATAGTAAAGGTCCGAAAATTTACTGGCTTTTGGGAGATTTAATATTCTATATTAAATCGTAGTGTTTTGGCTAGCTAAGATTAGCTTGGAGTTTTGGATCCATATTGGTTATGTCAGCTGATATTATACACTTTTATTGCTTCAACTTTCTGATGACTGCTGTTACATATGGATATTTGAAAGTGAATTTCTTGACATTACTTTCACAATAAATAACGTGTATAATACAGTAGTTTTTTAAATCAGATTTTGGGTACCTTATGTTCGCCCATATCTAAATCGTAAGTTTATTTTCTGTAGTTTAGCTACTATTTGTTCTATTGTTTTCGTGTCGATTCCAGAGGTCATAACAACCTTTATAGCACTTAATTTTATATCCTTTCTATTGTTTTTCGTGATTTTGCTTGTAATTAACAACCAGGATATAGTATAGCTAATGTTTTAGTTAATTGTCCAGCTCACAAATTCAAAGCAGTATATTTTACTTACGTGTGGATGGTAAGATCTATTCCTATCAATTTGTAAGCGAGCATAGTAAGTTTCTATTGAGTTATTTTGGCTTTCTTAAGAAAGGAATACTTTTTGTAACTGAAGTCGCTAACAAAAGTTCCCTATATTATACATATTGTACGGCTAAGTAGCGTGTAACAGGTTTTTGTTTCTGACACTAGTTCATATAAGAGGTAGATTTTAGGTCCAAATTACACTCCACTTAAATTGATTTTAATGACCGGGCAGTATCACTAGCCTTTATACAAAAGTGTGACCCCAAGTCGAATGATATTTTCCAGCTATTTAAATGTGTGTTGTTTTTAATATATCGTATTTATGAGTTGGAAAAGTAGTCAAATTGTTCTATTCTTTAGTTTCTATAGTTCTTGATAGGTAATTTAATACTTTTCAACAACTAAGTTATGATAATCTTACGTTGTCAGTTATCACTTCTCGGAAAACTATTACTTTAAGACCATTGACCAAACAACAAGTTTGGACTATTATTAACCCATTTACCACGTACCTGGCTCCAAACAACACTGTGAATGCAATGATTAGTGATACTACCTGGTCGCCCAAACCGAAGTAGTTGGAGCGGAGTCCAATCTGGTTACGCAGTGGCTGAAGGCAAAATATGTTTAACCACAAAGCCTTCGTTCCACCAGTAAACAATATATAATGAGGTTTCATATGGTATCCACTTTGTTGCTGTTTATAACTTCTTGACAGTTCATTGTTTTTTCAACATACTGAATAGCTTCTTAAAACTATTATTTTAAGTCACTCCTGCTTTGAAGCGAGTTTTTTTCGTGTGCATTGTTTTTTATCCTAATTCGCTGTAAGCATCGCTTATTTTCTTCCTAGGATACTAGTTTTACATGAGCAAGATTTATTGTGAATTATTTACCAACAAGATAACATAAACTCCATTCATTTATGAAGAAGTTTGTTGTGTCTGCTCCTGCGAAAGCTATATTATTTGGTGAGCATGCTGTTGTATACGGTTATCCAGCTATCGCTGCTACAATTGACTTACGGTGTTATTTTACAGTTACCATTAAGAATGAAGCTTGTGAAGATATTATTATAGATTTTAAAGATTTATCAGAAAATACCATTCATATTCCAATCAAAATGTTTCATTCTATTTCAAATAAAGAATCTGTTATGGATTACGCATGGAAATTAGTGTCAGATCTTTTTGATTGTACTTATCATGAATCTCTTCATGATTCACCTATCATTGTTAGCACATGTGTCATAGTATATCTGTTTATTCGTGCTACACAACTACGAAGCGATGAGTGTAGCAATCAACAATTCCCTATGTTTAATGGAAAAAGTACCATATGTATCGAAATTCAGTCAGATATGCCTAGTGGATGTGGCCTAGGATCATCAGGTGCATTTTCAGTCGCTGCTACTGCTACCATTCTGTTATTAACTAACAATTATCCACTTGTACAAGTTTGGGACATTGATAAGATTCAACGTAAATTAATATCTTCTTTGGCTAGAGACGCTGAATGCATCATTCATGGAAAATCTTCAGGATTAGATAGTACAATATGCACATATGGAGGTACTATAGTTTTTCGGAAAGATCAACTTCCTTTATTTCAGGAAATTAACATTTCAAATTTCGATACTGTCAAATTACTCATAGTCAATACTAACATTACTCGTTCCACATCTCTCGCTGTACGGAAGGTCTATGATAAGTGGAAGGAAGATAAAACGTGTGTAAATTCTATTTTCAAAGAAATAGGTACCATCGTGGACGAAGTAATTGATATTTTGAATCAGAAAGATAACTGTGAAATTAGTCGATCTCTTACTCGTCATATTGTTAGAAATCAACTTTTGCTTGAAGAGTTGGGAGTGTCACATTCTATTTCAAACGAAATTATTGAAGAATTAAAACTAGTTGGTATTCCAGCGAAAGTCACTGGAGCAGGTTTCGGAGGTTGTGTACTTGGATTTATTCTAGGGGTAGATTATGATAATTCAGAGCTTAATGATCTTATCAGCAGGTGGCATACACGTTCTTTATGGGCTCAAGTTACTTCTATTGAAGCTACTGGTGTGAAATATAACTCTCATTTTTTATAAATCCTTGTTCTTCATGAACATCTCAAAAGTAAAATTACTTTATCAACAGTGGAGAGTTTGATAGTCTGATTTGAAAAATGTATCCATTAGTTATAGATATTTACAGATGTTCGTAGTGTATATTGAGTAAATAACCTTGTCAGTTATGTATTTATCAATTATCCATATGCTTTGCCGCAGTACATTCAAAATATCGATGTAGTTCATTTTTAAGTTCAACACAAACAAGATGTTGAAGTAGTTCTATGCCGGGTAATACTATTTTTAGTCTAATTATTCAGACTATGTTGATTGTGTTAAGTTAGGTTGATTGGTAATTATATTGGATATGTACAACTGCTAGGTTGATTGTAGTTGTTACGACTTTCTTCTGGTCATACTTCAACTAATTACGAGTCCTCTAACAAACCTACTGCATACGACAGTCGATCGCTAGCCTACTCAATATCACATTGTGGTGTGAAAAATTGGGTTTTCACTAAGTAGGTAGGCTCTTTGAATTCATTGAGTTCAATGCTCTGGTGACATAGAAAAGTGTCAATATACTTTCTGTCTAATTTTTGGCACCCCAATCACAATTGGTCCGTAACGGAAGTCTCTAATCAACCACTGAGACCATATGATGGGTAAAGAAAGTTATTCCGGAACAAATTTACCACAGCTTTCTTCCCAGCAAACCTAAACAGCTAATGACGAGGTTTTTTCGTATTAAATGTGTAAAACTGGTCACGTGTTTGTAGGTTATTACAGACTTATAATATACGCGTACTCAGTCACCATGTGGGTCATTCGAAAAACACATGACTGTTGGAAACCTTACAAACCGCATTTTGTTTATTGTTTTAGCTTAAAACAGCTTGTAAGTGTCTGTGGGATAGTCGCTGAGCTTACAGCTTTCATCAACGTGCAGACATTGTTGCAATTTGCTGGGTTTTACTACAAGATTCTTACATTTTTGTCATATATTCTTATTCACAAGAGGTGATTGTCAAATTGATGACAGTGTATCACGGGGTAGTACAAACAATACAACTTGCCAGTTGAAAAAGGTTTAACAAGCAGTGAAAAGAGTTCCAGCGCAAGATTATACCAATAAAGAGAATAAAGACAGTTTGAGTGAAGAGAATTTCCTTTCCAACGACGTCAATTACTAGAGCTATGTAGTCGTATTTATAGTTATCTTTTACACATAGCAGTCCATAATAAAGTGAGGAATTGTTGCTTCACTAATAGATATACTAAAAGCTAGTCAAAATCTGAACCCACGTCAAAGGGAAATAAGAATGTAAATAATAAATGAAAGTGGGTGCGCATTGCTGAGTCCCATATTAGGATGAAACAGCCATCCAATGTTTCCAGGTTTTCCGTGGTGATCTGGTTTAAATCGACTCATGGATTCACTTATCAAATAGAAGTGAGTTATACAGGTTTGTTAATTTGATATATATAAGGAGTATGGACGAAACACGTCAAAAATAACTAAAAATAATTAACATTCACGATCTTTAAAGTACACTCAAAAAGTAGCACATCTACAATCTGGGATATTATTAAGATCATAGACCGATCTAAACTAGACAAACATCAAGAACATGAAACCACTGGATGCCCGTTTCGTCCTTGTATCGGACATCTTACTGATGTGCATCTACGACTCCACCATCGAGGATCGAATCCGGTACCTTCAGTCTCGCGCGCGAACCCTTACATTTAGACGGCCGAGCCAGGATCTTATGATGTACGAGGCTAATACTAATCAATTCACAATAGTACTCGATCGTCTAGGATATCATTTATTAAACGAGACCAGGTTAACCAATTTCTAAACTCTGAGATTATGATAAATGGTATTGTATGTCTTATTTTTATCACTTATATGAAGGTTGACAATGTAATAATTATACCTTTGCAACTGATCAATCCAATAACACCAACTTATACTCGTTTTGTTGAAGAGTGAAAATTAAAAATAGCGTGTAGTCATAACACCATCCATTTGACTGGTCAGCTGAGTTTTGCACATAACACATAAACACATCTATTTAATTCAGAGAAAAAACTGTGAAAACAAAATTTGAAGATATTTCAAGTGTGATTTACAAATGAATTGACCAATTAAATTTTCCTTATATTCTATATCTAGTGAAGAAGTACTTGAAAAGTGAAAATTAAAAGAAAAAAAATCGTCGCCAAATCTGACGAAATAAATAAAAATAATTACCTGAGACAATCATTAAGATAAATAATAACAATGAACATAGGGTTAAAATGTAATTGTAGGGAAGACCAACTAAAAGTAACTTTCTTCGAGATTAATTTGAAAGAAAAAGTTCAGAATTTCTGTGATTATAGATTTAGTAATATACAATAAATAGGTATGTGCAATATGCGTATTATGATTTTCTATGATCAATATCAAGTAATAATTCAGCGGCTATACCAGGAGCGATTTCTCGGTTGAATAGTAATGTTTCGATTTCTTTTTGTTTCTCTAGAATAAGTGGATTGTTTTTAAATCTACGCCAAATCTCCTCTTTAACAAATGTCCACATCCATATCTAATGTAAGAAAATATAGAGAAACAATATAATGTCGGATTATCGGCGACGTTTTTTAGTGTTCAATACACGTGTTGTGTTGGAATTTCCTAGGCATTTTTCTATTTGTTTAATGCAAAATGCGAAATCCTTGCCGCCGATTTCATTACAAGATCTAGATTTCGCTATATTTGTGTATGGGTTAAAGTGTGCATAAGTCTAGAGAAATGAAATGGAATTTTCAATGAAAATTATGCTACAATACACATCACTCACCTACTAAATAAAGAGGAAAAATTACGGAAATGATGGATAAAACACCATTATTGAAACATCAAAAACGTTAACGAGAACACTGTCCCACTTATCTGTAGTCTTGTGCGGCTTAAATATGCTAATTTATATGAGTAAATTTTTTTCTTTCCTAAGGTATTCATTAATAGGATGCAAATAATCTATCACTGACAATGAACTCACACTTACTTATAGCTTTCACAGTGATGTTGATATGATGGAAAGAAAAGTCAATTGTTGATTGAATTACTCATTATGAGTTTTATTCAACATTACATCCGTTTTGATTCAACGTGAGGATCATTCAGTGAAGTATTTGCTTTCTTTTCTCGTATGATATTTTATTCTATATAATATACGATGTTCTTGTATTCAGTTGACATGAGCTATGCTAAGTAAGTGATTTGTTATAACTGAGTATGTGATTTAATCTTAATTATTAATCAAAATGGGTGTACCATCAATATATAAACCAGTGTATTTTAGACTATTGTGATTCATTATTATTTGTATCATCATCGTCGTAGTGTTTTGGGGCTAATAAATCTTCACTTATACCAGTCTTTGTATTCTTATTTTCGCATCGTGGGAATTGCAGAGGTCCCTCGTTCCGAGTATAAGTGATCAGCGTTTTTCCGACACAGCAATCAACGACGATCAAATATAACAGATGTTCAAGCATTCTGATATAACGGAGAATAACCACATAGTTTTTATTGACAACTGATTAACTGAGTAGTTAACGACACATTATGTAAGTAGCCCTGATTTATTTGAAATAAGTACAGGCTAATTAACGTAGGAATTAAAAATCAAAGATTTTATACTATACAGTTTATAGGTTTAGTGGTTAAAAAGTACGACTTTCGAACACTAATTCTCAGATTAGAATCCCCACTCTGTGTACGTTGGTTTGGACAAGCAGATAGCAACACTAATTCTCACAATAAGGGTGCGCCTCATATCCAATCACCCAGTGAATTAGTTTATTTTATTCGATAATAGTTTAAAGGATTCGTTTATCTACTTTATATACATATGCTAGTCCAGTAATCGGATTATATAAAATAAAATCCAACTAGTGGGCAAAAACATGTTCTTCTTTACAACTATTTAGTATTATTTGGCAGAAAAAGATTTCGAACTGTCAAATTAATAATATAGTATGGGTTCGAATTCCATACTGTTGTCCTTATTATTAGATATCCAAGCAACTACTTGCAATATATCATTCTAGAAGCTTCAATCACAAAACATTTGGACACTAGCAGAACCTTGGTTACAAAACAACCGAACTGATCATTTGGAGGGTTAGGTTTCACTTTCAAATGCAATCAGCATCAAACAATCGCACAGTGTACTTTTACCATATTATCTTTTTAAGCAGATTGAGTTCCTATTTGTAGTCATTTATAATAAAAATTAAACGTTAGTAGTAAGGGTTTATAGTCTATTCCGATGTTGATAATAAGGATTGAAATTTTGACCAGTCCTTGCTGGGATATACGCATACTATGCAGACTGTCTTGATATAGCCAATATTTCATAAGTTATTTAAAATAGCATTTCGAGCTATGCTATGCTAGAAATGCTCTCACACAGTCACACGTATACAGCCTCAGCCAGGGAAGTCCTACTCACTGCCTAATCGTGGCGGGGGTGTTGTCTACGAAAATGAGAGGACGAAAAGCGAATGTCCGGAGCTTTAACCGGATCCCAAACCAATGGTGCACATGGGCTCCAGTATCCTGAGGGAACAAATGGCGTATGAACCAACCGTTGGTCACCGGCTACCATGGGACTGCATCTCCTCACAATGCTCCACTCCCTTGTGGATCAGACCTTTAGGTCAAAGGCTCCGGGTGTGGCCCCCTAAGAAAACCACCTGCTTCGGTCTGGGCACCTGGTCAGTATCACATCCCACACACACACAAATATGGTGTGGCGCATATATAATTGGTGCCCTCTTGTACCAATATTTATGTGTTGAAATAAATAAATAATCTAAAATAGATTCGTTAAGGGTAACGGTGGAATTCCGGCGCGAACATTAACATTGTGACTGAACATCCGGCTGATGAGTCCCAAATAAGATGAAACGCATATCCTAGATTCTACTGCAAAACCCAATCCATCTATTCTAAATCAAATAATGATTTGAATTGAATATAAGTTCACAAAAACATTGTCTCCAATAGCTAGTTTATCAAAGATATATGATTAAATTGGTTCACAACTGTAAATAGTAATTTCCTACATATGCAATTATAAACTATTCCCCAGACCATTGAGTTTCAGCTTATCGAAAGTCATAACAATTAAGCTATTTGACTTGATAAATTTTATCCATTTCTAAAATGAAAAATGAGTCAACAAACCTAATAATGTTTACGACAAACATAAGAATTATGATTGGTAAATAAACAAATAAATAAATTCGATGGAGTCAAATCGGAAATTTTTTTAGCATACATTAAATACAGAAGTTCGAAAGAAATTTAAATCAGCATACATGTGCAAATAAACTATAAATTTTCAAAGTTAATTTTGAGTAGTTCCAAAGTATTCCTCAGAAAAGCCTATAAGAGCCCCTCCTCCCCAAAGTTTTATCCAATCAGTATTAGACAGACATCTAGAGATTGAAGTCACGTCCCTAACTGGACATTAACCTATACTGCTACTATATTTAGTACGGTTCCAGAAATTTTCAGCAGCCTCTCGTTTTGCTGTGTATCAATCAACCTCGGAGTAAAGCGTTCATTTTGCACTTTGCGCCTTTTCTCTTGTGTTCAAGTTGTGTATATGTAGCCTGATGGTTATTAAATGCGCCTATGATGTCGGATCAAGCAATCGTTTATCAAACTTATCAGTATCAATTTATTCATTTCAAGATACTTTAATTAAGTATTTGGTGATACTCTTCTATCACGAAATGATATTTTTGTTGGAGAAAAAAATAATATCAATGTATATACAATAAGTCAACAGTATACTTCATTGAATTAACTAGAATGATTTAAGACGATTCTGTAGTAAGTTATAAAAAACTGGCAATAAAATAATATCATTTAACCAATTTAAGATTGTTTATGTGCAAATTGGTAGATGAATGAGTGGCATTTTCAACCTGAAAATTTTAATAAGGACTGCAGCTCCAAATACTTTAATTCAGTATGATTAGTGAGGCCAGGTAGTAGGAGTTTAGTGGTCATATATATGACTCCAGTTCGATCGTATGAATGATTGTTATTAAAATACACATGTCGTCGATCCTCGTACATAACGATCGACTTAAATCACGTTGGTGAATAACGGAATTATATAAGTCAAATACGAGAATGTATTTTGAATACGTGTATTTCACATACAATCTTTGATCTGAACAGACAACCAAGAAAATGAAGCGAAGATGAGAGAGAAGCAAAACGGATAGGAGCAGGTATGTGAGCCAACTCCATTTAACCAAGCGTAAATCGATATTTATAGTCAAACAAAAATAAGCCACTGACATGTGATGAATAAGATAAGAAATGCACACACGCTTACATAAAAACACTCAAGGTTGATAAGCGAATAATCAACAAGGGAAAAATGTAGCTTGAGAAGAATGGATAAATTGGTTATTCCAGAAGCTAGAATAGCCTATGTGAACATGACATTGCACCAGTCACTACAAAAGTATTAAGCTTTCATATTTAAATTGTACCTCGGTGATAAGTACACTGATTTGAAGTTGGTGAGTTACATGAACTAATTATTTAGGGTAAAGAAAAAACGGAGTAGAAAATAATATAGAAAAAAAAACGTTGAAAACCTAAATTTAATTGAATTAACTCACTCTCAATTGTTCTTTTCGTATTCTCTGTAATTCACCTGATTTAATTAGTGATTGGTGAAATTTAAAAGCTGTAGACCAAAATTCAATAAGTCCATCACCTGTTAGACTGGATACAAGTTGTACCTTATTTGGTTTTATACAAGTATGAAAAACAAAACAATTGTGAAGAATTATTACTCAGTTAACTTATATTAATAGTTACTGAAGATAAAATGGATTTGAAGTTAGTTTTAAACGTGGCTAACATCAACAAAGAAATCATTTAAAAGTCAGAAAGTTACTTTACGGTTAAGTTCTATTTCGAGATTATTTCTTAATAGTGCACTTAAATACAACACTAATCGGTAATATCGGTATAATATTTTGAAAGTGAAACTTACACCACATATGGTATTGGGTGCTGGAAATGCAGACCATTAGATTTTTAACTCATTTATTAAAAAAGTATCACACTCACAGCGATACCTGGAATTCCTGGGTACCATCAAGCATGAAATTAGTGGTGTATACCACTAAGAAGTTCTAAACGAAGGTAGAACATTTTTTCAATACTTCCTGGTAACAAGTGCTTATCTAGATAATACTAGTTAGTGATGAAAACCGACTTAATGTCGAATAATCCTTACGCTTCAGTTCTTTTCTCAGATCAGTGATACGAACAGTTAATTCTTTATTACTTATTAGAATAAGAATACTGTAAGACGAATTAACAGATGTATATATGTGCCTGGTCTTACGTTGTAGCTGATCGAATTAACAGATAGAATTTTATGTTATGTTTTTCGAATGTCATTATTCTCAAACCTATTTGATCATAAATCAACTTTAAACTTCAAGTATATGACAAAACTGCTGAATGAATAAACATGTTTCACAGGGTTTATCGGTCAATCAGTTGCAACGTAGAACCTAGCACGTGTGTATATCGATCAAACTTGCCACACCCCATTTGGCACACCGAAACGAAAATGTCAGGCCAACTCCCACAGTAGCAGATGTATTTACAGTATCAGTGATGATAGAGATTAGGCATCGAAGACGCAATTGAAGATACAGATTAGTGAAATAAAAACAATTATGAGGAATTAAGAAGCTCAGGACTTTAGGAAAGCGATTTTGAGCCACGTCATCAAAAGTCTGGAAACACTGGTTACGATAATGAAATGGACCCCAACCAGGTAGTCTGAACCTATTAACATGGCTCAGTATATTTGTTAATGATTTCATGGACTAATGCCATGGTTTGGCCGCCCTTAGCCTTCTTTCAGCCTACTCCTACAAGGTTTACAAATAACAATGAATTTCTTGAAATATCCTAAAAATGAAAACATTTTATGTAATATAAATAACAGTAAATTAGTGTAGAACTACTAAAGATTTAACTGTTGAGCCGTTCGGATATTATGGTATTCAGGTGATTCATGTACATGTACCAATATTGAGATGTATTTTTTTCGTAAATATTCAAAACTATACAGATAATTAAAAGTATTCGGCAATTTAAAAACAGTGATTACTTGTTTGAATAATTAACTTCTGACAGAGAAAAGTCGTTTTTTACAAACACAGATTTTTTTAATCAAAATTCATGAAAAGAGAAATGCACTGCTTCATATTTTAAAAAAATTTGCTTCGATAAAACAAGCAATTGTCTGTCGTCAAGTAGTGAAAATTTAGTGTTTACAACTTAATGACTTTTAATTCTTGTAATGAAATGCCGTTGAGCATATTAGGATTAATGAGTTAAATATTCAGATCATTGAATCCCAACTAATGACCAATCGCCATAGAGTGGATGCTAATTATTTCGCACGGGTCAAGACTTTGAAATATTTAGTGAATCTAAATTACTTCCTATTTTTAATTCTTGTATTTTGTAAGTTAAATAAAGTAACTGGTTTACTTTCGGAATCCAATTAGGTCTTCGACAACGCATATATTTGAGAGCGTTCGAATATTCTTTAGCAATAAGACGAGCTTGATGCAATAGTTCACCATCTGCTTTATTCACTAGAACCAGATCAGCAACTTCAACAATCCCTCGTTTTATGCCTTGTAATTCATCACCTCCAGCAGGAGGAATAATCAAAACAAACATATCAACCATATCTGCAGCAGCGAACTCTAACTGTCCAACACCTGGAATCATAAGGGGACAAATTATGTTCAAACAATTAGGCGATGTACGTAAAAATTTTCGAATTTTATGAAGATATAAATTTCTAAAGGAAATTTTTAATTAGGATTCAGTTGTAGAAATGCCATACGATAGAATTCATTACAGATATTAGGCTGCATAACTCAGAAGTAAAACTATATACCTAAAAGAACAACTTTCATCACGTAGTGACAAGTATTACAGGCTTGGTCAAATCTAGCAATTACTGGACAGCTATTTATGTGGAACAGATGCTGACGAACATAATATCTTAAATTTTAACTAATGAAGCATATAAGCAAAATTCACAGGAGGACTGCCCTTTAAGGAACTGCATCCGGTCGAAAAACCACAACTATGTTGACGCATCAGGAGCACTGCAGTTGTTTTTTAAGAAAGTACTTTGTAAATGATTATACTGAAAATCAAAATAAATACAACTAAACTATGAATAACATAAAGTTTTTTTCATGAGTTACATTTTAAATTAGTTATTTGTAATAAAGAATGATATGTTTAGTCATTGATGCCAACGGAAGACTGTCGATCAAATTACAATGGGACTGTTACTCAATAACGAATCAGCCGAGCTAATTCAGTCCCACAGATCGGTCGTAGCTTAGTGGAAACATCTCCAAGTAATGTTGGGTGATGCAAGTTCGGATCTCACAGAGGGTAACAATCCCCTCAAAACTGAAGATACACTGTGATTATGAGCTCCAATCAGCAAGTAACTTAGGTTCAGGAATCCCCATATATGCCTCAAACCTCATGACATCAAATTAGTTCATTCATTTCCAAACATATTCCATATGAAATTGGAAGAAAATTACGTCTAATGGCATTAGCGAATAATACGTGGAGATCACAATCATCGCTATCGATTTATTAATGCAAAAATTTTCACGAAATTGTCTGTCTTTAAACATAGTTCAACTTGACCAAACATTGTAAATTAATTTTTTCATTGACGAACACTCCATTTATTAACATAACGGAACTACGTAGCTCACTTTGAAGACATACTGATCTCTTTTAAAATTCAATTGATGTAAACCAATATATCACCCCTACATTTCGATTTATTAACATCTTGAATCTATTCACAATTCTAAAAGAAAAAACAAGAAATATGAAACTACAAAATTCAAACACGAACATACCAACAGTTTCTACGAGGACAGTTTCAAATCCTGCAGCTTCACATAGTAGGATGGATTCACTAGTTGCACGAGCAACACCACCTAAATTTCCACCACTAGGGGATGGTCGTATGTAGGCATTCATATTACTGGACAATTCAGGCATTCGAGTTTTATCGGCCAAGAGACTACCACCAGTTGTATGTGAAGAAGGATCTATTGCTAAGACAGCTACACGATGAAGTTTTCTGATTTCTTGATTGAAATGTTCTTCGTCTAGTGTCAACCGCTGCTTACCATAAGATTTATATGAAGTATTAATTACAGGATTCCATGGTTTACTACCTGTAAGGCGACCACCAAATGCTTCAATAAATGTACTTTTCCCAGCACCTGGTGGGCCAGAGAGACCTTGGAAGGGAATCAATAATATTAGATAAATTTCACTAAAAAAAAAAGTAGAAATCAGTGCATTTTTGCAAAATTTAGTCAATCCATCGACTTCCAAGATATAGTTTGTATGTTCTGACCCTGCATCCTCTATTTCGATTTGAGTAGCCGGGATGTATCGCTAGAACATTTATGAAGAGTGTGACTCTAAGCCTACTACATTAACATGTACTTTATAAATCAGTTGGATTATGATTAGTTAACTAATTATTACGCACCATATGACTTGAGATAACGTTACTTAACAAAGGCTCGTGATGTGAACAGAGAAAAAAAGCTTTGACAAGCAGCGGAAGCTATTTTGAGGGACGTTATATCAATCAATTCAAACCTTGTAAAGCTAACATTTAATTTTGTCCGTAGTTTATTCTGAAAACCATAATCTTTCTTTTTATGTATGATTCACTGACAAACCCTTTTTAATCACAAAGTTATTGTGATTTAAATGTAACTTTGGCTACTCTATTTTTCTACCCTAATCCCCAGTTATAAACAGGACAGTATTTTTCGAATTGTTTGTACATTGTGGTCATGTTAATTATCTATTTATTCATGCATCTTTTTGTGCTAATTCGGATCGGAGTGTGAGTGGGAATTAGGAATAAATCAAGTAGTTTCAGTTGACTCGTCTCCTATCTCTCTCTCTCTCTGGCTTGTCAACCAATCAACCGAGAGAGCAGTTTTCGTCTCTCTACTCAAGGCAGTTAGTCTAACTTCGAACTCATGCGATTCTAGCCTCAAGGTTGAACCAGTAAGCTTATCATGTCAAGGTCTAAACCTAAATTGAGACAAGTTATCTTCTGCATATTAGTGGATAGACATATCAAGGATGTAACAGTTCATAAAGCGTAAGTTTATTAGATAAAGTACAGATATTGATAATCAATATGAGACAACGATTGCAGAGAAGGTCAACTTGAACTTATGTCGCAAATAATGTTTTCTATAAGTCATGCTTTTAGAAATTTCATTTAATCTGTACAGTTATCGTTGCGAGCAGGTTAACAAACAATTAAATACGAATAGATTCTTTTTTATTAGTCGATGCCGTAAAAACCTACTAAAACCAACGTATGAAGGACCTTATAGTGACAGAGAGCACCGAAAAATACTTCATAAGCACAGACAGAAAGCCTCTATAGACAGACTTAAACTGGCTTTCCTCGATAGTGAGCAGGAAGGCAGCACTAAGACAGACAAGCAGCCTTTTTCTTCCGACATACAGAAAGTTTAAATTAAAAATCATGTCGCCGGAAAATCTAACTGTACAACTAGAAGTGGTGGAACAATAAATAAATACAAATATTTTGTACATTTTATTGGTTAATTATTTACTTCTTTGTATAACTGTCAATTCATCTGTTCACCATCATAATGAAAGTTGATAATAGAAGTAAAAGTAATATTTGGTGATAAAGATAGGGTTTTATTACGAACGAGGCGATGTTGCATACTGTTAGAGGTATGAAGGAAATTGTTATTTCTCAGTTACCCAGACCGTGGAAAAATATTTCTTTAAGGGGTACCTGAAAGGGAAACTAAACCAGTGGTAGTTTTGGCAACCTGAGAGCCTGACCGTAGAGCTAAAGAGACATTTTGGACACAGGCTACATAGAAGTTTTGTGACAATTTTCTATGTGTTAGCATTGCACTTCAAAATGATCTATTGAAGAAGACAGTAATCCATTGGGTGAGATATTTTCAGAGTCGGGGATTCCGAAACTTGTCCCTCTGCTGTGAGGAGGCAGCATCGATGCAGATGCTGTTCATTAGAAAAATAACTTATTGTTGTCACAACCCTGTACACTCAGCAGTACAGCTTCTCCCGAAAACTTAAAATTCATTCGAATATATGAAAGATGATTATCCACTTAATGGTTTGACTTCTCGTAGACTGCTTCAAAACGACATCTGAACTAGCAAGCATTGCGTTGCTCGTCGAGGAGAGTGATAGTTGAGCATACAAAACATATGTCTTAACCACGTCAGTCAATGAAGATTTACAACTTCACCTATCGACTCACCACCTCTGTAAAGCTCAGCATGCTTAACCTTAATATCGCTCACTCAGTCATTCCTGGAAACGCATTCAGTGCTTCGAGGACTGATCGTAACTAATATTTTGAATTGGTGATCGCGCTGTCATGTCATCATGGTCTAATCAAGCTATATTGACTGAAATTTTTCAGGTCCTACCGTCCCAGGAGGGTTGTCCGAGTAATAGTAAGTCTAGAAACAAAAACTTAAGGTCTGAGGGTGAAGCTGTATTGCTGAGTTTACAGGGTTGTGACAACAATAAGTTGTTTCAATTAAATGAACATATATATTGGAGGATTTCTTGAGAGAGTAGAATTTTCAAAGTTGAAATCACGAACTGGTTTTAGCTAGACCAGCATATTTATTAGTCTGTGTGCATATTTTTGACTAACATTCAGTAATTAATGTTATATCATCAATAAGTGTGTATGTGTTGACTACAGAGTTATATACCATCGTTACTTTTTGTTAGGAATTCATATAATGAACATTTTCCCTTTTTGCTATGGTCAACAACATACAAGTACAATAAGTTTGTGTATTAACATATATTGCATGCCATTATCGAACATGCTTATATATATATATATAGCTGAGAAAAGATGGTTAACTTTACTGATTTCAGTGAGACTGAACAATCTCTACAACGCTATACTTATAAAGATAAGTAGTATTAACCTCACTTATAAATTTTTTGTGGTTACTCACATTTTTTGTAACTTCATTAAGTTGTCCAATTGCTAATATCGACCAAAAAACGTTATTTATGTCGGTATAAAACTGTCCTTGTTATTTTGATGACTATATAGATCACCGTATGATCATACACTTGTTTCATTACGCACTCTCGTTCTCTCCTCTGTTACTGTTACATAATCAGGTTTCTAATATAATTGTTACACATTTTTCAAACAATTTCCTCCTCAACAATATTCTGGTATATTATATATCCTAACATCTCAATCAAATCGAGTTTCTCGTGTTTGACAATCCCGTACCATAACTGAGAAATTACATCCAGACTTTATGAACACGCGGATGCTAGAAATTTAATAAGTAACCCGCTGTATTGCTATTGCATATCGAACTCCTTAGGCAACGGTCTCCTACTAGGACTCTGGAAATCTTCTCTTGAAGCTAGTCACTAGTGTGCACGTGATAATTATCAGTACGGAGTTGTGGAGATTTCTTTAAGAATACGAACAGATCTAAGTTAAAAAACCATTGAAAATATGGAGGCACTGAACGGCCTTTTTGTTCTAGTATCATATTTTGACTTTATTAATACAGTTGACTTGTTTATGCACATTCGTTTTGAGTAACTTTATAAATATTTTTGTACTTATACTTTTCGGTCCACTATATTATTACCTCTTAATCTCAAAACAAATTGCAAATGGTAAGTAGTATATTGTCTAAGAATGACATTCAGTGTATATAACATTGAAATTTCATAGGATATTATGTAGGTTGGTTTCACTTGGTAACAGACGTTAGTAGTTGACCACCTTAAGTCAATGAATAATAATGATAGTAACACAATAAAAACTCAAAACATTATTTTTCATTAAAAAGCAGCTAAATTAGTTAGGAAGTTGGAAATATTTTGGTCAAATATGCAAATAAAACTACTGAAGAACAAAATGTGAGAAATTAGCAAATTTAGTTATGAGTACATTGCATACTGAAAACTATGTAACCAATTACCTATTTATGTAACTGGATTAAGTCACAATCATCATGACAACTAGTGATACAACTCAGATGACACAATGTTAGTAAGAACTCAACTAATCTAGTTTTTTGTTAAATGAGTTATTTCTCTTAAACATAACCGCGATAGTACTTTTCAAATTCATATATCCACACTAACCTGTAATTCAATTGTTTGTTCTCACTTTTAGTTTACTAATTTTGTTGTATCCCAAGGGCGCTGTCGGTTGATATATGGAGAGTTGCTACATCATAAAACTGTCTTCTTGTATATCAAGCATTTCTTTTACTTCTATGACCTCTGTCTCCCATCGCGTTAATGATTATTGTTGAAGTGTCGTACGTCAGTCGGCCGATCTATCGAGTCCGTGTAGATCAGGTTTCGTATTAGAAGAATATTCCAACCGTTCGCAATTAGGAATTACCGTAGGCCACAGTAAAACATAGTATATAAACCCAAAGCTGTGAAGCGAAATTCAAACAGAAAAATACAAGAATTACCGGACTGAGTTATTACGTGTGAGACAGGATTTTGGAAGGGAAGTTTGAACAAGCGTCTGCAATTCACATCAGGATACTATATTTAGACAACCCCCTTCATTGATTTAAATGACTTTATGTGCTGATATATGAATGAATATACAGGACGTTTTTTAAGCAATAAATGATAGAATAGTACAAAAAAATTAACTTACCAATTCTGAATGTAAACTTTCCAGTTTTAAGTTCTTGGTGCGCCAAATGTTTTATTACTGCATCAAGAATATATTGACCCTCAGCACGACGTTCAGCTTTAGAAGATTCCAAAAGTGTAATTGCTCTTGCTAAACTATAACGATTACCTTGAATTAAGGAATCTGCTAACGTCTTAGCATACTCTGTTTGGTTAATAGACAATGAAGTTATCTTTTGAGATATAATAGGAATAGGAGAATGGATATACTTTTTAGAGTGTTTACATGAAAACACTCTGAAACGACCATACGATATATGAATATGAGAACAAAGACGGAGCATGATTTCAGTTTATTCTGAGATAAATTGATGCATGTTTTTGTCACCTCAAAGTATCTTTTCAATAAAACAATGATAAACAGTATTTAGACTGAAAGATTAAACCTATTTTTCAAATAAAAACAACACAAAACTTGACATTCTTACAGAAATTAAATACTTCAAATAAGTAAATAAAACAAATTTGTGAATATGAAGGTCAATTAATAGAAAATGTACACGATTCAAAAAGTTGTTTTGCTAGTTCATAGTAATAACTAAAAACCTGAACCTAACAAGAAAGTGAATTATCATTCTGACCAATGATAAAAACAATATGGTCAAGATTTAAACATATAAACTATTTTAGTAATCAATGTTTCAAAATGAAATTATGGAAACATTATTTCAAAATAATTATTAAATACACTTCATTTAATCCAACAAAGGCATAGTGTCAATTGAGTTACAAAATCACGGCTAGATAATCTCTTGCCAAAATTGTGAGAACAACAATATATATCACAGGTACAATTAAAATCAACGTTTATTGAGAGAAAAGACGCAGCAAAAAGCGAACAATATAGATTGAAATGAGTTTGGGAGTTTATTGTCTAGACGTATTTTATTGGTCGATTGAGTAGTAAATATCTTTTTTTCATTAATTTCACAAATAATTAAACACTTGTAACATGATATATTGGCAGACAGACAAACGTCATCATCACAGAACCTAGCACAGATGTGTATCACTCCAAGCTCCCATAGACTATGTTCCACAGCCACAAGGGAGAACAGAGCAGTATACACACCCTTTAATTGGGAAATAGACATTACGCTTACGCCACAAGTGACGTATGTTGGCAGGAACCAACAGGGTTTTTTGAATTCATTCCAAGATTTCTTTGGATACAAACCCTCCAGGGCCGACGAAACGGTCAAAGAACTCAGCTGCTTCACTCCCATTACAAGTTCGACAGTCGAAACAGAAAATGCTTGAAGCATCACTCTGTATTTAGAGGGAGAAAAACACATCCTAAGCATGCTAACGTTATTATTCATGAGGATCAGAAAACTCTGCATTTTATCCGTGTTTTCGCTTAATAGAATTATGTCAGCTGATTGTTCTAAGTCAGCAAGAGAACATCCTGAGATGCCACCCCTGAAAATTTAGGTAGCGACAGTATATTTCTGAGGGGACACCTATGATCACTAGGATATGACTCGACTGGTAGTATCTAGGTAGAGAGTTTACATCAGGTGTATGTACCTATTTCAATGGTAAACATTGACATATAACCACTTGCTCGGAAGAGTAAAATGCTGCATTATTATCAAGGAATACAATTATAGTGAGTGGTCAGTAATTTAAGGCACTTGTGTAAATTTCACATTCGAGTTTATTAGGGATATTTATTTATTTGAACACATAAATATTGGTACATAGGGAAACCGAATACATATGCGCCACACAAGTCACTTGATTTGTGTGCGGGCTGTGATACTGACCGGGTGCCCAGATCGAAGCAGGTGGTTTTCTTAGGAAACCACACCCCGAGCCTTCGACCCAAAGGTCTGATTCACAAGGCATCGGGGCAGCGTCAGGAGATGCAGTCCCATGTTAGCCGGTGACCAACGATTGGTTTATACGCCATTTGTTCCCTCAGGATACTGAAGCCTATGTTCACCATCGGTTTGGAATCAGGGTTTTCCAACTCCCCTAGGTGAACCCTCTGAGTCCACCAACCCGGTTAAAGCGCCGAACACTCGCTTTTCGTCCTCCCAACTTCGTAAACAACACCCCCGCTACGAGAAGGCAGCGAATAGGAATTCCCTGGCAGTGGTTGTATACGCGTGGCTATGTGAGAGCATTGCGAGATGGAGAGCTAACCCCCGCACCCTCGGCCATACTAGGGCACCTGGGGGTAACTGAAGGGTAGCTTAAGACCAGTCGAACTTGTACCCGAAGTGTTCCACCCATATATCTAATCTCATAGATTGAGAGTGAATGGTAGATCCGTCCTTTTCCAAAAGAGACTTACTAACATCTGCTTTTTTAATACCTGTTTGCTTGTTCAGTCAGTAGAGTTGTCTAGTGTTACCTATTGCACTACCTGTTCCATCTATTTTGCTTTCGTTGCTCAACCAATGCTCGTAATTATTATATGAACCCGTTGTTAGTTTGATTTTGAGTTGTCACTCTTCACCGCCCCCCAAGCCTGTCAGGATAATTTTTGAGAATTTATTACTTTAGTAGATGCTCATAGGACTTTCATAACCTTTTGAACTAATTTATCGATAGATATAATTACTATAAAGTTGTTTGGATATCTTTTCAGGCTTTTTCAGAATGAATTGTTTCTTTACGATCGATTAGATATTTATATATCTTTCACATTTTCATCCCCGAACTGATATCTAAGTGGGCCTCCTGATGTGACTTTCCTACATCTAGTAAAATACATAGAAATACGTTTAAATCGAAAAATGACTAAAAAAGCTTTTAAGTGGTAATGACATGTGTATATTATAACTTCTGAATGCTAGAACTAAGTTACTCTCTATGGGTAGAAAGTGGAGATGTAAACAAACAACAGGTCATTGGAAGTCTGCTTAAAAAGTTTTAAAAGGACAATAATATACACAAAAGTAGTAGTTATCGTGTTGAACACTGAGCAGTAAGTTTAATCAACGTTACAGTTTTAGAAATCCAGTACTACAATCATTTTAAATGCTTTAAAAATTAGGACAAAGAAGTGCTTAACTTAAAAATGATTTCACCAAAATGTGACTAATCTGTTGAAAAAATAAACTGGTGTGCAATAAATCTTTCTAAATAGAACCAGCTAATAAGTTTCAGAATGATTACGATATTGACAATAACAGGTTAAGATTAATAAAGCTACAGTAACATGAAGAGCGAGATATGAAACAAGCATCCAACCAATATAGTAACAAACAGTTTATTCTAAGATTTATATGGATAACTTCAGATAGTTTCGGTATCTGCCAATAATTACCTTAAATTATACATTTCAATAAAATTGTAGCAATGCACTTAACTAAATTCTTTTTGAAATTATCTTCTATCGCTGATGAAATCAGCTTCAAAATGACTATATATGGGAGAGTGTGTGTGCTGAACAACTACTTCAATTCAGTTTTGGACTTCTCAATTGTTTTAATTCATGGACTGTAATACAGTCGCGTCATGTGATGAACATGATACTTTTGTAGTTATGAAAACACAGGAGACTGGATTCCAATTCAACGATTTAAAAGTATTATACTGGATGAAAAACCTAAAAATCCTTGTTTTAATTCTGTAGATGTAGTTTAACTTCTAACAAGGACAAAGTTAATGTCCTTCCATGATAAACTTTTTTTTTAAAAGTTAAATAATAACAAGTTATTCAAGTAAACAAATGTTATTTCCTAATCTATTTACGAAAATAATTTTATATATATAACATCGAATTTATTGGTCGTTCTGTTTCACAAGTTCACTTAATTACATCAATGCATAGGACACCTTACGGAAGAAATTTAAGTGTATATGTGTGTTCATACTGAACCCAAATTGATATATGTGAGCAGTGTTGTTTAATGTCATGTACATTTACCTAACTAAACAATTTTATTTTTAATTATATAATATTGAAGATCATCAAATATAATCCGATTGATCATCTTTTGAACACTGAATAGTACTAATAGTAGTCATAAGGCAACAATCAATAACAAACCTTATAATAGGTCAAATAAATTAAAATATGAACTATACAACAAACAACATTATGTAATGTACTAAAATTCATTCATATTGAAAAATAAAACAATACTTTAGTATGCTGTTTATTCTGAAAAGAAAAAAAAATACATAAGTAACCATGCAAATAACCAACAACAAGGAAACAAAGAAAAAAATAACGTAGATACCATCATTATCAATATATTCATATATCTAAGTAGTCTATATATACGTAATGTACTTCACACAATAATAGTAATGATTGTGTATATACACAGAAAAAAATTGGGAAAACAAAATGATATGATTTTTCTGTAAAAAAAAATCTACATTTACGGGTAATGTGAGTAAATATGTAGAAAGGAGAAGAGAAACAAATGAAGAAAAAAAAACAAAAGTACATAACCAGATAATACTGATGAATATATGCATACTGATTTTATTGTTAACAAAATCAGTTTACAAACTAATCATTTTCATCATTATTATCATGATGATAGAGAACAATGGTTGAATATATGGTTGAAAAATAAACAAATTATAAATTGTTTAATAAATATTTAGAAAAAAAAGAAATCAAAGAAAACACAACACAATGATAGTAAATAGAAAGATCTACATTGAATTTATAAAAAAAAGACAATACAATAATTGATATTTTGTAATTTTCCGTTCATGGAATAAAGATGAGCAGCAGTGAAAGTTTAGAAAAGACGAAAAGAGTAAATGTTTCATTTATTTCTTTTTTTTCGGTTTTATAAAAATAATCATCACAATAACTCTGTGCAATGTTCATGCCTTTTCACTCTTTTTTTTTCTAGAAATGTGCAGAGGCAAGAGATGGGAGAAAAACGACAAGATACAAAGAAAATAAAAATCTATGAGTAAACAACTATCACAAAACAGAAATGGACTCTTGAAATAAAAACTAAAAAACCAAATGTTCAAAGTGATATCAAGTGAAACGAATGTATAAGAGAAAATAAGTTTTCTTTAACAGAGAGTAATAAGTATAACAAATGAAAGAGGTATTGCTTTTTAACAAGAGTTATTTTTTATAATCATTGCTGTCAAAATTCACATCATATAGTTATTATTGTGCAATTGGCACTAATAATGAATAATAGTAGGTGATTAAACTAGTAAGAAATATTTACGTATATATAAAGTATAAGAAGATTTATAATAAAAAATAATAATAAAAATAATAATAGCAATATAAATCAGACATGAAAAAAAAAACAATACTAAATGAATCTGATTTTGAATATCTTTGTGATGTATTCTACAATTTGAGGTTTTATCCATATATATATATATATATATATATATATATATATATATATATATCGATAATTCTCAGGAAAATGTTATTA